CACACACACACACACACACCAGCAGCAGCAGAATCCCTTTTTTCTGTCGGGCTCCTCCTGTTGTTTGCTGTGTTTGCAGGAATATTGGATCAGTCTCCGGACAGAAGCACGGACCGAGCTGAGCCAGGGATGGTCGGGTCAGTAAGCATTCACTCATTTCATGGAAAATCTGTTTTTGTTTTAGGGAAAAAATGCAAACCTTGTCCCCTTCTCTTGCCCATTTCTTTCCTTTCTGCTGTTCGATCGTCTCTGACCCTCTGTGCGCTCTTATTTTATGTGTTTATTTTTACTCTGCAAACCTACAACCTTGTCTGTATTCCTGTGGGTTGTTTATCTAGAAGTTTTCCTCTCTTGCACAAGAGCGGCGTTAGACAGGGAAGAGTGTTTTCTTTCCTGGAAAAGGAGGACAAAGTTCAGTTTTCTGCTCCTGTGGTCCGTTTTTAGCATTTAAAATAATAATAATAATAATAATAATAATAATAATAATAATAATAATAATAATAATAATAATAATAGATAAAAGCATGTTTGTGTCAGTTTTCCAATAATTACAGTTAAAATATGAACAGTATCACTGCAAAATATTTTATCAAAAATTTCTACATTATTATAATAAAACAACAATTCAACTTAAATAAAATCCACTTGCCACGTGTATATTGTGCAAACAGTGCTGCATGATTTATTTTTCCACATGAAGTGAGAACAGGTGATCCTGTGGTCACAGTGGTGTCACTCTTCAGGTGGCAGCAGATCAGACTGGTGTTGAAGTGTGAGATGAGCCATGGAGCTGAGCTGGAGGCCGGTCACTAGCAGTAGCACCAGCAGGACGAGCAGAAGTCAGTCATCAGGAAGGCCGGGCAGCATGCAGCCGGGCCCCCAGTAACCAGCCAGTGGACCTGGTCCTGTTCTCTTCACCTGGGACCAGGGCTGCAGAATGCTCAGTCCTGCCACCCCATACAGTGAGTCGGTGTGAATATTTTTTTTTATTTTCACGTCTGTGTGTGTGCAGCTGCATCTTTCATTCTCATTTCCTGCTCTTTCTCTTGTGATTGGTTAAAACTGGGTGGGAGTAGGTCTCTAAGAAGTCATGCACAAGGCACATTTGCTAATGGCTTTAACAGCCGAGGCTCTAGGCTTTGCTTTAGGAGGAATTTCACATAAAGTGTCCATTTTTAGTGTCAGACAGCAGCTAAAGCAATCAGTGACTTGCTGTGTRTTGGCACATTAATATGTTTGTTTTAAAGTGGAGTTTTGGTTTATTATCTTTAGTATCTAACCTGAGGTACTTAAGCTTTTGAACAGCTTCACGTTGGAAAAACAGTTTATTTCTGACTGGTTTGATGACTGGGCAATAAAACAATAGCAACATATATCACAATAGACACATGATCAATATCAATAGAATATTGATCATTTCACTGAACTCTAATCCAGAATCGAGCGACGTGAATTGAAAGGAGAAAATGAAGCAAMGGCTCAAAACAAAATTATGGATAAAAAAGGAAAAGTCGTGTCACCAGTTTGGCAGTATTAATCAGACTTTTTCTCCTGGTCTTGATATCGACTGATATGGAATGTTAACATCATGATACATTTTAGAAATATTGTACTAATGTTTTAATTTTAAACTAGGCACTTGAAATAGACCAAACGCCTCATGTGATGTCGTCACTGTTTCGCCTGAACGCTCAGATTGACTGCCAGCTCCAAGTGATATTCACTCAACAGACACTATTTTAAATTAAATACTTTCAGCTGCCATGTCTGCCTTTTCCCCAATCAGTTTCTGACACATTTTTACAAAAGTCGTCTGTTTTTCAAAATCAAAAGTTTTTAACCCATGTTTTAAAAATCTGCAAAGATGCAAAAACATACTTTTTGATGCATGAACCGCAATAAAACTTCTTTCTTTTTTTCTCTCTTTTTTGCCACTTCAGTAGAAAACAAAACTGAATGTTAGTTTCTTAATTTCTGCATCATCAGTGGCTTTTTTATAATACTATAGTAAGAAAGAAAAAGTAGAAGAGAAAAATAAGAACAGTAAAATGAGAAACCGATAGAAATTATACAACATGTGAAATGAACACCAATAACACA